TTCTACGGAAACGGCCGAAAGTAATCCAAAAAATATAAGCTTTTCTTTGCCGGCTCGCAGCCGTTTGTTCATTAAGATAATGATAATTACATCAGGGCTGTCTTAAGGGTTGTAGGATCTGCTACAAGCCTACGGACGAGCAAAGATCCAGATAAAAAAAAAAGCGATGAATTAACGAGTGAAAAGATAGTTCGTTAACTGAAAGCATGCCTACCACGCTCCCTTTTCTGCGCCGGGGCATGGGACAAAAGCGAGCTAAAAAAAACAACAACAAACAGAAGGTGATGTACCTCATGCCCTCGCGCGGATCTCGCTCCACCCACACTTCTCCCGATTACATGTTATGAAGCAGAAGGATAGTTCACAGACGATTTTCGGGTCGAATCATGCGAAGCCCGAGTCAGAAGAATGACTTTTTTTAAACTGGAATGACTTGAAGGAAAAAATCAATGGATGATTATTTTGATTTTTCGCGAAGTTCAGTAGAATTGACTCATCGATAGTGACTGATTGTGTGAATTTAGGGACGAACGACTGAAAAATGACTGCCCGAACAAACGATTATCAATCGATCATTATAAAGGTAGAGAATTAGCGATTTCTAATGATATCTATTTCTTCAGTGGTCAGAATTATAAATGGATCATTCGCAATACTGAACTACCAGTCACGTAGAACAAATGACAGTTCACACTCTTCTTTCGTTCTGAAGTTTACACGTCATTTTCAGAATAGCCGTGTTAGACTGTTTCTAAAATAGAGATAAAGTTGCGCCTAAAAATTCAGTTCCAGAAGATAGACGATCAAAAGCAGAGAGGAGTTTAGACCCTGCTACGATGTCAAGACAATGACGGGATAAATGAGTGCCTTGGCTCACCTCTTCATACTACCGTCTTTGGTAGTCCTAAATTTGACTCTTTGCTTTTTTCCGCCATCTGCTCGTTCAAGATAATCGTGCTCAAGCAGGGATTTTGCTTGATCTATCAGGGAGAAAGAAGCGTACTTTCACGGAGGGTTGAATTGCACATCTCGCCATATCACACCGTTCTTGACCTTTATCTCTACTTCTCTACTTATCACATTTCAGGCACGTGAGCGTCAATGACTGCTTTGTGACCTTTCAATGAATAGCCATTCTTGTGTTCGCTTTTAGTCATATTATTATTAGCAACATGGGAATAGAACTGCGTAAGGTGGCGTGGTTTGGGTTGTAGATATCTTCACAAAGCTTCCCACCGGGTAGAAGGTTTTTCACTAGGGAGGAAGGAGATGGCATCACATTAAGTCTAACACTCTTCCCTCTCTCCCAGCCCCCCTCCCTCTTCGCGGCTCCTTCCTCGGGTAATGTCGGGAAAAGAAAAGAGGAATGCCACGTAGTACTTTCGTTATTCTTCACTGACAAAGAATAATGGAGGTGATGGAGGCAGAATGAAGAGTGACGATGTGCGGATGATGGGTAATGGGCTTATGCGTGCCTTGGGATAGAGCAGGGATACGTTTTTGGAAAAGATGACTGAAAAAAAAAAACTGAATTGAACACGCAATACTTGGTTGTTGACAGCCAGAAACAAAGTTCACTGTTCGAAGAGCAGGCCTCTTGTGTGTAAAAAGCCTTGGAATGAAATTGTTAAGGGACTATTTTTGAATGAGGATAGCATAGTTAAATTTTACTCAACCTCAAACTGAACTTTAGACTAAAGGACAGAGGAAAGAGTATATCGAGGCATTTTATAAGCTCCAGACAATTTTTTGTCGTCCGTGTTCATAAATTGCTCAGCTGACTTGGAAGGTAGAAGCCCCTGCAACTAAAACACTGGTTGCGGTTGATTGGAATCACGCGAGTCAGGAAACAGGAAATTTTAAGGTAATGTTTGAAACATCATGACGTCAATATTGGTATGCGATATTGTTATCGAAAAATGTCTTTTAAAACATTTAGGTCTCCCCTCTGCCATGCCATGAAGTGACGTCTACAACCGGGATCGATTTTAAGGGTACCGGAAGACGGCATTGAAACTTTATTATACTTGGGGGTTAATCATTCCTCAGAGATTTTACTAAAAGAACAGCATGAACACGAAGTGGTCTTGAAGACCATTTCGTGCTCCTCAGAGTGTTCCTCAGAGTGTCATTCGTCAGATGCGTTTCTTTAATTTGTTCAACATTCATCCGATGCTGGATTCTTCCTACGTTTGCCTCGTGTCAACCGGCAAAATGAATATTTATTGAGCTTTAATTTTTTTTACATTTGCTTGCTTGTTCTTGAGTTTTTTTCCTCGTTGTCACGCGGTTGAGTTAGAGATGCGACCTTTAAACTCAGTCCTTACCTAATTGTTACTTAGTCT